GCAGAAGATTAATTAAATCCCCCAACTGTTAGCTAGTCGCAGCAGCAGCGGCATCCCGGCCACAGTCCAGCGCCATCTTGAAAATTCCCCAACAATGACGTCATTCACCACAACTGTGTTTTGATTCGCTGGAGAGGTTTACAGTGACACCCTGCGGTCAATCTGTGTAACTGCACCTCAAACCTTTGTTGACCCCATTAAAAAAGGCACACAAACACTCAAACAAACTCAGAGTTATTACAGTTAACGAATACTCATCTGAAGACTAGACTGGAAAAAGAGTTTGAGTTCAGTTTTATTTATATAGCACTAAATCACAACAACATCTGTCTCAAGACACAGTATGTTGTAAGGTAAGACGTTATATTAATACAAAGATGGAGAAAACCTGTAATCAGATGATCCCCATTTGAGCAAGCGCCTGGCAGAACTATGCTCTGTGTGCTTTTAACAATCTAGAAATAACTGAAATTATACTATTCGAGAAATCACCTGAGCTTTTGTCATTATGGTCAAATTTATCACGCCAGAAATCACAAGGAGGATCCAGTCCTGACAAATACACTCGGCATTACTCACACAAACTAAATGTTTTGGAACAATAAAAACTAAACTGATATGAGCAACTAACTTAAACAAAAATAATAATTCAAAATGAAGCAAAACTAACGAAAAAATCCAAACTATAATGATGCTGTCCTGATCTTTCATAGTTCATCAGTCAAATCTGATTGTTTATTCTTAATGTCTGCTGGCATATTGACCAGGTCACTCTTGCAGAGAGATCAAACTTTATTCTTAAGTTTTATTCAGGGTAGTGCAGGTCAAAGAGATTCACAGATAAGATGGCAGAAAAAAAGTAATCAAAAACAGAAAAAGCCTGAAAAAGATCAGCGTTTGAAGACTGATATTTGATATATGACACATGATTAACACTGAAAATAAAGCAAAAACTTGCATTTCCTTTTTAAACACTGGGTTTTGCTGCCCCAAGCCATCGCAGGACTCCCAGAGATATCATAAGGCTGGATTTAGAAGAGATGCCTGTTTATTCTCTGTGGAAAACATTATTGATGGATTCACTCTCTTTCTCACTACCTGGGTTCTTCACCTCCAGGAAAACATTTCCACACGCTTTGCTTCCTCATCATCACTCTCCGTCATCCTTCATCCATGTTTGGGGATTCTGGGGGAATCCGTTTTCTTTTAGTGCTTTGGAGTGCTGTGCAAAAGTCTTGAGCCAAAGTTAACACGCTTTGAGATAAAATAACACTTTTGCACCAACACACATTTACAAAGGTGTGCACCACGTTGTTAAAAAATCTGAGGAAACTGGACAAAAGAAGAAGTGTGAGGTCTAAAAACGTTCTACAGCAGGTGAGCAGTGAAGGTCTCGTCTTTAAGAAAGAGGAAAGCATCCAGCAAAGACCTGACACAGGACCCGAGACACTTAGAGCGAAATTGGGTAGCTGGACCACAAAGGTGCAAAAGTAAAGAAGAGAAAACATATATGTGAGTGAACTATACACATGGTGTATGTGTAAGAAACACTGAAACAGAAACATTGTGGGGCTG